TAGCCTCGTTTCACTCGCGAAATAGATCGGGTCTTAGCCTCTCTAAATCGTTGAACGTGTTCGGGTCTTAGCCTCACCAATTCGATTTGTATGATCGAATCTCACGACTCTCAACACACGGTTTGAACTAACGTTCTTTTCTATTCCATTCCAAGACTCCCCAAAAACAATGGGGGATGATCCCTATTTATAGATCCTAACTATGACTAATTCTAATCTACCTAGGAAACATATTAAAGCAATAAAATATTAAATAACCTATACATTCTAGATATTATTGTGCAAGAAGGAAACTAAATATCTAAAGTCCTAAATTGACTAGATCTTGATTTTGCTTGGCTTGCACTCCAAACAAATCCACATCACACGCCCAAGTACTTCGGCCGCCTTCTACGCATCACGCGTGCGCGCCGCCCTTCGGGGTAACCTAATCCTCGTCGCGCGCGGCTTCGCGCGTGCGCGTCTCGCACGCATCATCATCCGCGCATGCCCGTTGGCCGCGGTCTTCCCCTCGCGCGTGTTCGCCCAGCGCTCCTAATCCTTCGAGGCGTAGGCCTCGTCCGTTATCCTCGCACGCGTCGTTCCTCGCGCACTCCCGCTCGTCGCCAACTTCTCCCCGCGCGTGCCCCCCATCGCCCGGCACTCCTAAGCCCACCAGGTTTAGTCCTCGCGCATGTGCGCCCTGCTCGCGCGCTTCTGTCCGCGCGCCCTCGCTGTCGGCCAGTTCGCGCGCGTCCTCGCCAATTGCGCGGTTGCTGCCCATGCTCGATGCTCCCGCATCCTTCCCGCGCTCGTCTGCCCGCTCGCGCGTACCATCGACGCCCGTGCCCCGATCGCCTATCGCGCACCCGCGTACACCCGTGGTTCTTCGCGTCTCGCCGACCCCCGCAGCCTGCCTTCTTCCTGCGCATGGTCGCGCGTTACTTGCGTCCACCATCTCATCGCCGCCCCTCCGCTCAGCGCCCCGGCCCTTTGACCTCTTGCGCGCATCACCGCACGATGCGCGCCATACGCCCGATAGCCGGTCCTCATCGATCCCTTTGTCCCCTGACGGCCATGGGTCCCAGCTATCCAACCCAATACAGTCACCGGCACGCCATATCCAACCATCCTCCATACCCAGCCTTCCCCGTCGTTCGAACTCCGTGTGCCACGCCCGTTTCTTCCTCGTGCACGGCCCACAACACCGGCTTGCCTTTTGCGCCCTTGTTTTGCGTCGTCTTTTGG